CGCATGCTGTCGGCAGCAGAGGCGATCGCGATTTGACTCTATAATCCGGACCTAGGTGCACAGAAAAACTCGACCATACTGTAACCCTGGCTTGGTCTCAGACCAACGCAACTAACAGTAGTAGTCACGCTAATTCACCTGACTTCGCCACAACTAGACCAATCATGCAGACCTATCGATTAGCAGAACATTGATATAAGCGTCTCTCTTGTTTGTACATGTTTGCATGGTGTTGCGGGCCCGTCAAATATCCCCGCAAAAACGTGCCGCAAACCGGTGTAATGGCTGTGGAAGGCGGAGTCCAATTCCTCCGAGCGTATCCGTTTTCAGCCGCTCCGAGACGCGACACAACTGCGCACAGTTTGGCCATGTTCTTTTACAAACTACCATCTCGTTGCGGTAGCAATTTTCACTAACTTGATAACCCATAGTTTTGGCTGTGTTTCGCCCTTTGTTGGTCGTAAAAGAGGCTTCAGAGGACCACTTATTTTGCTTCCGCTTCGCCGCAGTTGAGACTCGGTCGGGTAACGTGATTTTGTGTGCATCGATAGCCGGGCAATGTTCGCGTCTAAAGCATTAGCGCGCGTTTATCGTACCCCCCCCCCTCGTGTGCGTAGCCTCGTCCGTTACGATGGCTCAGTGTCCACCCGAATCCGTGCGGCTAGGAACGTTCGCACGCTCGTTCAATTTTCCGTCACACCAGCGAGTACCACGGGCTAAGCTAACGCCATCACGTCAGCGCAAACCTGCTCGATTGCCCAGCGTTCCAAACCGTTTTCATAGGCTTGCTCCAACCGTGCCAGTCACAATCTTATCAGGCGTCGCGCAATCTTAACGCATGGTATTTATGATCGACCTATTAATTAGCGTCTTCATGGCAGATGGCCATTGGTCTGGTACATCAGTGATCGCGGACTTTATCCGACACGGTTCAGTCGCGGAGTGTATGGTGCTGAGAAGCATTTTACCAATCTGTATCTAGCAGTAAACATTCCACCTCGATTGATTTTTCCCATATTTTCCCTCATCCATATTCACTGTATTTCGCTTGCGTTCCGCATCGTTTCCCCCACCATTGTGAATTATTTTTCCCTGACGATGTAAGCTGTATCCATCGCACTTCGGCTCTCGGATCTTAATTGTTTTATTAATCGATGGTAACCGAGCAATCAGTCCAGTGTCTGATGCACTGAGCAGATTGCTACCAGGAAAGATTATTTCTGATGTCCATCTGCGGTCATTTGTGCACATATCTTATTCTTGTTAAGTTGTTCCTCATTGTGTGTTTACGCTGGTTGTGTCTGTGCGCGTTCGGTAACTCTGCTTGCCTCATCACAGGTAACTGCATATGACGGTCAATAGCGCTAGCGCAGTGGCACTTCATGCATCGGAAGTCGACATTGTGACCACAGTGAAACCGATGTGGTCTATTTGTAAACATTGAACAATGGATACTTAGCTGGGAGTGGATGACGTTAAGCAGCATTTGAGATAAGTTCCATCCATACGATGTGGACTGCCAAACACCGACAACAAAGATACCTGTCACAAAAGTCGGTCCTTCAAGGGCAAGCGGTTTACTCAACAAAGGCACCTCAACGAAATCTACAACACGCTTGACCCGCATAGTCTCGAGATGTGCTGTTCGTGCAGTTCCATAAACCATCGCGATTTGGGGCCAATGAGTTTTCTCGGTTAAACAAACTATGATCCGGCATACCGTAATAGCGCATCGTTACTACGCGACCACTACCGGTCACGCGTGGACTAGGTATACTTCGACCTTGCCTGTACCTACGCGGAATCGAACTGGTGATCTCCGGATTCCAAGGCGAGCGTGTAATCTCGACCATCGGTAGACAGGAACTCAATGTAGCGCACGCGAATTTGAACCAACCAGCGGAGCTTTGTGGATGGACGACGACGACTGCTTTGTGCAATGACCGTATCCGTCGGGTTCGTCAACCATTCGCTGTCTGTCTCGTTCCTTGCATTCATATGCTCACTCCTATCAAAACACTCACAATGTTTATAATAATACAACATCCTTTGATTGGCGTTTCTGTTGAATGTTGTCCGACTTAATGTGGTAGTTCGAATCGGTCACAAAGATGTGTTTTGTTTTGGTCCCTGATCATCGCATCACAGGTGTTGCCTGTACCAATAGAGATATAACACAAAAAAGCAACGAAGTGCCCGCTGAGGGTCTAGCAGATAGGTTCTCTTGAAGTTGAACTGTGTGATGTCCCAAACGAAATCAGATCATCTGCTACATGCGTTCCTCGTGACGATAGATGTGGCAACAGAAAAGGTACATAAATAAATGAATGAAATCTAGGAGGGCTGGTTAGATGGTTATATTGAAGAGTTCGTTATATGAATAGATTGCAACGCGCAATGTCAATGTGGACCGCGATTCCCATTGGTCTTCGATCACTAGGACCGTAGCTGAAGCGGATGGAAATTGGGTGTTGACCGCCCCAAAGCACTGCACTTCATGACGCGTTTCGATCTTATTTGCACTTATCAGGCAGGGATAGCAAGCTTCGAATCAGGGACCTATGGAATAGTAGTGTGATCGCTACTCCTAAGCCACCGTGTCATGTCGGGTACCGTTTGGCACAATGGTTAATGACTGATTGGATGGTCGTTTTGATGTACGCGTTATGTGACTGGATTGCGACGCACAATCTCAATGTGGACCGCGATTCGCGCTGAAGTGAGCTTTGGTCAATTCGATTACTGGGACCATAGCCGATAAAGCAGATAGGTATTCGGTTTTGCCCGCTCGAAGCTACTGCGCTTCACGACTGGTTTTGAACATATTTGATTTCTTGTGGATGTTTGTGAGTAGTGTAAAGTTCGTAGAAAGTAGAAGTCGCGATTAAAATTCACGCACAATAATGTGCCTCGACAGGGAATCGAACCCCGGTCCATGAATTTCCGGTCAGCTGTTCTACCACTAAGCTACCGAGGGCTGACGATTAGGTGCGCAAATTTTAACACATGTCTTCTGCTTGGTGCGCGACGTGTTGCCAATAAGCTCACAGTACCTGTCCTGGTGTTGCAGATTGGCTCACTCACCCGTCACTTCCTAATGGACCGAAGTACCCGTCCTTCGGATGTCCATTGGGCGATGGTAGATTAATCGTGTATGTTTGTGAGTAGTGTAAAGTTCGTATTAAAAATTGCGCACCTAATCGTCAGCCCTCGGTAGCTCAGTGGTAGAGCAGCGAACCGGAAATTCGTGGACCGGGGTTCGATTCCCCGTCGAGGCACATTATTGTGTGTGAATTTTAGTCGTGACTTCTACTTTCTACGATATTTGATTTCATCAAATAGAGGTAGCCAGGTGCTACAATCCTCCAACTAGTCATTAACCTTTGTGACAAGAGTTGCCCGTCGTGACTCAAAAGCTAAATGGGGTTGAGGTTTCTGCTAATATCACAACGACCACGGGTTCGATTCCTGCTATCTCTACCTGATGAGATCAAAAAAGCTCAAAACGTGTCGTGATGTGCGGCGCTTTGTGCGTGCAACACCCAAAACTCATCCGCTTCGAGGATGACTACTTTGCAAAACAAAAGAGAAATTGCAACGAATTAATCCATTGAAGACTACAGAGTTCCAGTCTTCTGAAAACCAAGAGTGCGAGCTCAGGTAGACTGCTGCGTCATGCGTTGATGTATGAACCACATCAAATGAGTCAGCAATTATCATCAACAAGAAGACAGGCACAAGAGTCATGGAAGACATTTAAAAATGGATCTAATGAGATGCTATGACACGCATAAACCGATTGATCGATATCAATGCAACTTCTGGATAGAAGTTATGCGTAGACCGAGGACCAAAGTTGCTCACCCCAGTGTGCAGCTGCATATTTTAGTTTGTCGCCATAATTGTTATTCCCTCATTGACAGTGGCCGCTTCGGCCTTTTACCTGTCACTGTGATAGAGCTACGTCGTAAACAAGCTGGTTTCCAGTGTGGACGCTGAAGAATGAGGTATGCGGACGAAAGCAAGTGGCCTCGAGTTTGTCCGTCCAGTTCCACCCCTCAACGTACATATATCGCAGGTCGGAGTGTCCGCGAATGGAAAATAACAGCGCTTTTTGGCCATCAGAGTACGTATAGCTTGCACATGCAACGTGAGAACAGACACATGGTCACTCCCTAATGTGGAACTGATAGTTGACAATTATTCTAATTGCTCTAACGGCAAAAATAAGAATAGAACAGACAAGAAATGGAGAAAATTAGACATAACAGGTTGAAAGCATATAAAAAGATACAAAGCTAATTCATTTTTTTCAGAAACGTTGGTAAATCAAGAATTTTGTGCTGTGGCAACCAATAAAAGTTGCAATGTTTATGTCGATTTTCGCCGATAAAGTTGGTAGAACAATAGTACAACGGCTGCGGAACTGTGCGCGAGTAGCACACGTGCCGAGTATGCTCAGTTCAGCTAAACAACGACTCAAGCAGCGAGGTGTGACAATTCTAGATACCAAGGCTCGCGCAACCACGATGATATTAATAGTTGGCAGTGGTAAGGAGGGTAGAACGTAAAAAATCGCAAAGGGGAGTTAAGTTCTTAAAATTAGTCACGATCCTTTATTGACAGTTAGATACAAGAAAGCGAGCGCAGAAGCGCCACCACTGTGCAACTGTGATATGTCCAACTGCTGATGTAGTTCAACCATAGACCCTCGTCCACGAAAATGGCACGCATCAGCCTAACCAAGACTTTCGATTAATATATGTATGCCACGTCTTCAACTGCGCAACTCGCGGTTTCGCTAGCAAAAGCATAGAACGCAAGTTGAGGAAGGTGATCAATGGGCATACCGAGGACGCAACCTAACCTAACGCAAGCGTTCTAGGATTTAGAAGACAATCCACTGCGGCGACTGGCGGTTTTGGTATCGTTCACATAGTGCTCCCACCAGGCGTGAGTACCCATCACCCAATCTCGTTAGACCAAATAAGAATCGATTTCAGGTAACCTTGTTTTGAATACAGAGTCATCCCACACAATCTTCACATTCTGATATTCCTGTCTGGAGTTTTAAAAGGAATCTCATGTTTCAATCTTTAGCGCGATGTGGCCAGGTTTCTGATCCATACCATGTGTCGGACATGCACTCTCTGAGTTCAGCGCTGTCAGCCGGGAGGCAACAGTTAGTGTATCGATGCCAGACGTGCAGGTCACGCACTACCATTAGTCGCTCACTGCGCGCGCAACATTTGACGGTCCCCAATTATGGCCGTGAGGAGAAGTAAGGAAGGCTTGTGGTCTTCAGATGAAATATGGGCAGAAAGAAGTTGGCACACACACGGGCCATCTGTACAATAGAGTGGGTCAGAAATGAGAGAAGGGAGCAGAAAAGTTGTACAGAAGGCAACTGGAGTGCAGTGAAAATAACACCGAAGGGATAATACCACAGCCTTAGTGGGGCTACCATTGAAATGAAACGTTCGGTGTGTTTAGGGTAACGTAAGCCGTCGAATCCGGGCGGTAAATCCAGGCTGAATTAGCAAGTACATACAGGTGGCTGAGAATCGCGATACGGCTCTGTGTGATGCCTGCTCGTCAAATTATGAGGTGACCAAATGGCTGGATGACTTTTCAGGATGTGCGGGCCGGATGAAATGACGGAGTCAAACGAGACGCAGAGGAATGCGCACCACCGGTTGAAACCTGCGGTAGGAGCTCAACGTAATTTGCTGGAATGAGTCCACGGATGGCGGGCGAGCCGTCTAGGATCGGGGGTACCAATTCGGCATACCACCAATTGTCATCTTCTTCGCCGAGCACACGAATACGATCGCCCCGTTTGAATGACATTTCACCTTCGAACTCAGCCGAAAAGTCGAATTTAGCCACACAGTACCTGCCAGCTAAGTAGGTAGACGTGACACCGGGTGGAAAAGCGCCGGTTGGAAGTTGCTCTTTGTGCTCCAGTGCCGCTGATCCAGCAGGACCTCGAGTGCCTCCAGATCCACCGCTTAAACGAAAACGAGGGTCGTTGAAGTTGACGTTCTGACCTGAACCAACTGGACCGAAAGCCTGAAGTGTAGGAGGGAAAAGATTTCGATATACTACCCAATTTCTACGCGGTTTCGGTTGAGAATAATCTAGTATTCCGAAAACTTTCGAGTTCGGCCGAAATAAGAAAACAATGGTCATAGTAAGAAAGATACTTAAAAAACAGCCGTCGAAATCTACCGTCGATAGGTTGTACGATATCCGTGTTACATAGTACAAGTGGAGAACCCCTAATTTTCAGTACCGCAGGGTCATTTACAAAATGTAGCAGTACAGTCAATTCAGCCAATCAGTAAAACAAGAGGAGCACTATGTTAGTCTCGAATCTTCTAAAATGAGCTAAAAGTATCCAGTGAACATCTTTGGTATAATTGGTTTGCTCTCAGAAGTAATTGTTTTAGGAGAGCAGTCACTATTTAACGCCCCGATACATGGCACAAAAAGTGAACTGATAACTACACCCTGGATAGTATCAGTACTGTACTCAACAGATCTAGGGGTCTTGTAAAGCGAAACGGCCGTCGGTACGTAGCAACTGTATATCTAATTATGCGAGTGGAAAATCTAATTGATTTCTCAATAAATATTGAATACGAAATCGGAGTCAAATGACGGAGCTAAAATCTAGATTGACAAGACTAGACAATTCGAGAGTGAGATGTTGTTATTCTAGCCAGGGATGATCCGAGTAAGGTTATTAAGGAACCAGGTTTCTATGGATCCGACAATAGGAATGCTGTATGGCGACGATCCCAGGCAGTCGTAAATGAAGAAGTTATCAATGAGGAGAGGAATGAAGTACAGACGCACAGTGATATCAATAGATCAGCTGAGCAAATGATCCGAATAGGATTTGTTTTTAATTTATGCTGAACTCAGACCACACGAAATCAAAGCGCGCAGCACCATGAGATAGCTGCTGCTGAAAAGGATACACCGACCTGAGTTCGGTTCCTTTTCGCCTCTGCCTATTCCAACATTACCTCATCTTCCGGTAGGCCATGCCAACCTTAAGTGAGTTCCAATGGGAAAACCAACCAGTTCTCTGCTTCTTCTTGAAGTCCGGTATTCTTCCAACATCCGTATTTCTGAGCAAGCCCAAAACCAAGTAGCCAAATCCAAACAATCCATGGCTAACATATGCCACAAAACCCATAGGGTCCTTGCCAAACTAGAATTATTCAAAACCTTCGCTCGTCCTATCCTTAAATACAGGAACCTAATCTATGGCAGCATGCGAAAGATGGACAGAAAAGCAATGGCATAGTTACATAGGTCAGCAACCAAACGTTTGTTCGGTTGTACGTTTACTCTAAACTACTGCGAACGTTGTAAGCAGGTTCATATCGACCCGCTCTCGTTGCGACGTCTGAAGCAAAAGCTGATGCTCTTTCACAACTAGTTACCTCAAAAAACGTACTCCTATCTGCCTAATTTAGAGCTGCACCAAGATAAACATTAAAGACTTAACAATAAAAATATGCTTCAATTGTACGAACGGCAGAAACAACCATGCGATCTAGATATTCCTCGTCAGATACGCCGCTATATGGAACAGTCTGCCAATCACAATCAAGGTATGTGGAAACCCTAAATCCTTCCAGACTGACATCGATAGTTTCTTTGACCTGAAAAGAATACTATTCATGTTCTCCTCCGACAAAGTATCTGACGAAGTATTTTCGGATGGACCAAAAAATAACTAAAAAGCTAAAATGCTATATACATCCATGCGAGTGCCGTGGACTCATGTTCTGAACGCCTCGTGTGAGTCGGGCTACTCCCCTCTAACTAAGAGACACACAATTCCGCGTGTAGGTTCCCTGACTCACGGTGCACGACCCGCTGCATTGCAGGAGTAGGTTTGACAGAAGGTCTCGGCCGAGGATCCGAGTCATTCCGCAATCAGGTCATGTGTGGACGCCCTGGCAGTAAGCCAGTCCGAAAACTAACCGTGAAACGCGCCAAAATAATAATGACAGTCTCATGCTGCATCGGCCGTCGCGCAGTGGCCTTGGGAAAGGGTTGCCTTATCTATTATATGCAGCGGCGTAAATGAGCAAAAAGATACTACCGCTGATGCCTTCCTTCGTTTTATTCCCTTGAACATTCTTTCATCGTCCCTATTTCAAGTAACTTTCTACTTTCTCTAATCCATGTGACCCAGCGTGAGATTGCCCACCATCGTAATCGCATGCGTTGGCGCAATGTACTCAACATCAAGTACTGGAACGTGCGTATACTACTCGACCGGAACAAGATTGAGCGACTCGAGAGACGAACTGCACTGGTCGCGATGGAACTCCGTGCTACGGGATCGACATTGCCGCGCTCAGTGAGACTAAGCTCGCTGAGAAGGGGAAGCTGCATGAGGTTGATGTGGGTTAGACGATCTACTGGGTGGGGAACACCATCTCAGCGCCACGTGGACATGAGGTCAGATTTGCATTATCGGACTGACTAAATGGCCAGCTGGTGACAGAGCCTACCGGAAGCAGCTCACAACTGATGACACTCCGTCTTTAAGTTGGAAGAGATAAGTTTGCAATTTTTATCAGCACGTATGGTCCCACCATGTGATATCCTAATGACACGAGGGATTAGTTTTACAAGCACGGTATGTGCTGGGTGATTTAAACGCGCGCGTTGAGCCTGATGCTGCGGTGTGGACAGACGTAATAGGTTCGTATGGTATTGACAGCCGATGGGAACGGAAACCACCTGCTCTCACTGTGTGCCACTCACGGCCTGACGATCACAAACACTCGGTTTACAGTGGGTGCGAGTGATAGAGCAACTTGGACGCACCCACATCAATAACAGAACGACCTTTTACCATGGTGAGTCATTCAAATAGTTCGTAACATTCGCTCAACAAGCGCGATGTCCAGTCTGCCACAGACTAAAGACGTAAGTGGATCATGTTGCAAACTTGTTAAGAGGGGCATTTTGTGCCGTAACTGTTACAAGTTCTTCCATGCGAGATGCTTCCGAGTTAAACCTAGTCAGGCCAAGTTACTAGACAAACCAGACTCGCTATGGTTCTGTGTGGAATGCACATCGATCCCACTGATAATAAGCGTGCTCCTATAATCTCAGAAGTATGACTAGCTACTAGCCAAGTTTGGGGAAATGGTGACCACCAAAATCACTACGGTTGGGGTAAGCATAGCGGACTGTACAACCCAATTCTCCTCAGTAAGTGCTGCTCCTAACCCGTGAGGAACTGTTAATAACACCGTAAGCAACACGACACCTAGAGTCCAGAACATCAACAGCTGTCCCAATACCACACGTAACTCACATTTGACTAAAGCGGTTCGCAGTTCTATCTGAGTAACTACACGTAAGGCTACTTCCAAACTCCTAACGGAGTGCGTAAAAAAAACAGCAAGCCGGTACGAGCGAAAGTTGGGTTACGGTTGCCTCCAAGAAGAGTCATTTAAAATTAACATCACCCCCAACTGGATCTGAAAGTGAGGAGCATAGCGGAGTTTTTCTAGTGCAAGCACCACCGGTTTCCTGCTGCACATCTCCGAGTACTTCAATCACTAACCGCGACATGTCGAAAGGTGTAAAGAAACAACTACCTGTACTGAGTGTACTGTGCTCCAATATCCCAGAATCAAAGTCGACATCCATAAGAGGCAGGCAGTTGGATGACCTTAACCAGTGGGACATTATTAGTAATCCAATTGGAGTTGTAATGAAACTTGTACACGTAATGCGTATTACACGACACCCCAACTCTAAACATTTAGGAGAGCCAAAACTTCTGCGTGTTGTGCTGAACTCCATCACTGAAGTAGAATCAGTACTACTGTCGACAGGTAGTCTAAGAAATGAACACTGCTCCATCCGTATTTTTCCAGACATCCCATGGGGCGAGCGTTATCGAGTTAACCGCACCTTAGAGGACTACCGGAAGGAAACTTCAACCAGAACCATACTTCTTCACGGGGTTCCTGAAACTGAACCATGTGATGAGCATTAAATAACAACCCATGATAGAGAACAGTGATGTTATATTCGTGAAACAGTCTGCTTGGATGATATGTTAGCGAAATCGGTGTCACGACTGCGTACCTCACCGAACTACAAAGGAAGTGGCCCGAAAGAGTTGGTTGTCCTTCAGTCAAAACATATGGTAGCACGGATGTTAAAAAGCTGGTACATGTTCCGTTGCAAGCTATCATCTGAGGTTCGTCTGAAGACAATCAGCGATATGCCTCCTAGAGATGATATGTCAATCGAAGAACCAAACGCGATGGGATCTATGAAAGGACAATGTACCAGTAGTGTGTCGAATGACACCATACAACCTGTAGATGATATTGACCAGACACCTTACACTGTACGTCGAAGATTAGACACGGGACTAACTACACGGACGATGAATAAGACGTTAAACCCTTCACCAAGTACACATCGAAAAAACGATTAGTCGCCGGCCACTTAATGGTCGGCGAAACTTCACGTATGAGTTGTACAACCTCAGAAACATTGCTGAAATCTGAGAAACTTTCATGTATGTACACTAACGCCCAAGGGCTCCTCAGTAAAATTATCGAACTTCGACTACGTCAGGTTGCAAATGCTTGGGACCTAATTTCTATTACCGAAACTTGGTTACACTAAGAGGTGACTGATGCTGAGGTTGAGATAGCCGAAATGTCAATCATCCGGAACGACCGCCCCAGCAGAGGAGGTGGGGTCCTACTCTACTACCGCAGCGATCTACAATGTACAATAGTTGATGATCTGGAAACACACGTTACCGACTCACTCTGGTGCCGTCTCCGACTAAGACACAACGACGCATGTCTCGTAGCTATCGTTTACCGCCCCCCAACCTCCACTCCGGAAATGGATTCCTGCTTGATCCGTGGCCTGAACAGAGTAACACGCACTAGGTACAGCCATATTCTCATCTCCGGGGACTTCAATCTACACAATCTGGAGGTTTTTGCATCGCCCAGTGAGCAGTTCAAAGCAGACTTGCATGAACTGATCGCTAATATTCCTTTGTACAATCATGTCACCACGCCCACTAAATTCAGGACAGCAAACAAACTGTCCAGGACCTTCTGCTCAAAAATGAAGAGCTCATGGTTGACAAGTTATTGATGGATAGTCCACTA